ATAGATTTAATCGATTAAATCGATTAAAAGAAACACTTACATAGGAAATTCACATCAAAACAATCGATTAATTAGTGTATCAATCGATTAAAATCTATATGTCATGTATTTGTATCAACTAAAACTAGTTTACATAAGTTAAATTAGCTAAATAAGATACTATTCTGATTTTGATGGATCTATTGGTTAAAACTTACTCAATCTAGTTGATATTATCTTAAAACATTTTCCTAATAATCAATTTTACAAATTCCGAACTGAATTAGGCATATTAGATGCATCAAACATTACTTAGTTTTCAAAACTGGTTGTTTTAATCGATATAAATAAGCTTTAAATAGATTAAAATCACTTATACAACATTTTTCTTACTGTTTTAATCGATTAAATGTCGATTTAATCGATTAAATCAACTTATGTTTCAAACTTTCGAAATTCATCATTGTTTTAATCGATTAAAACATTATTTTAATCGATTAAAACTAGTAACAAGATCATTTTAATCGATTTTGTCCTGTTTTTAATCGATTATTACTCTGGAAAAAAAAATTAAAGGCTTTAGTTAATGGTTGTTCTTGTAACATGCTACTAAAGCATGGTTCTCTTATCTTTACACGTGTTAATTTTATTCATTACAAATGTGTTAATGAAGATAAGTTTGAATCAACTTTGATTGGCCTTTTTATGTGTAAAGTATCTTGTTCAATTTTTTTTCTGTTTTCAAAAACTAAATTTTGATGCATACCTTGTGTTGTATTTGCTTTATTCCTCTATTCCCTATTTTTGATGAAGTCAAAAGGGGGAGAAGTAATTTACTTTGAATTGTTTTGCTTTTATAATTGATTTTCCTTATTTAGGGGGAGTAGAAATATAGGGGGACAAATGGGAAAATGATTAGTATTTTGAATACTCACTAATCTATATATTCAAGTGACTTCTTCTGCAGAGTTATTATTCAAAGAGGTGTTTGTCTTTATCAAATAGGGGGAGACTGAAAGTGATGCAGATCTTATTGAATTACTTTAGCAAAGATCTTGTTGATTTGTTGAAGTCAAAAATGAAGTCAAAGACTACTTTGCGGCAATCAAAGGTCACTTAGATAAAAGGGTAGTATGATTAGTGAGTTTGCATCACTACTTAGGTATAATCATTTTTATCTCTCTGCTGCATGAGGTTTCTTCATTTAAAAGATTTTGCAATTGCCTCTAAAAAATGTTTAAACGGTTAAAAACAAAGTATTTTGTTAAAAGGTTTTTAATTAACTATTTTAACTAATAGTATATAAGCTTTATCAACTAAAATGTTCTTAACACTTTTGTAACGTGTTTTTAATCGATATGTTTTCGAAATAATCGATTGTTTTCATTAGAAGGATTTTTGAAAACCTTCTTCCAAGTATTTTAACCGATATAGAATTGATATAATCGATTAAAATGACTTAGAATATTTTGAAAAGTGTTCGGCAGAATTTTAATCGATACAAACTCGAAATAATCGATTGAAACAACTTAAAGTGTTTTGAAAGTTGTTCTGTCAGTATTTTAATCGATACAAATGCGAAATAATCGATTAAAACAACTAAGAGGTTTTTCCGAATGTTTTAATCGATTAAAACATGCTTGCTATCGATTAAAATAACTTAGAAAGTTTTATGAAATCTTTTGGAAGAATTATAATCGATTAAAATGCGTTTCAATCGATTAAAATAACTAAGTGGATTTTTTTCAAAGTGTTTTAATCGATTAAAACAGATTGTTATCAGTTAAAATCACATAGAAAAGTTTATAAGAATATTTTGCAGTATTTTATTCGATTGAAAGACGAAACAATCGATTAAAACAATTTAGAAGATTTTTTACAAAGAGTTTTAATTGATATAAACGTTGTCGTATCAGTTAAAACACATCTGGAAAATAATCAAGAACATTTAACAAATTAAAAGAAGTTTTAATAGATTAAAATAAGACTTTTAACAGATTAAAAGATTATTTTAACAGATTAAATAAACCAGCAGTTTTTGAAAATCTTCTATATAAATAGAGTTGCTTGAACTTTTTAAAACACATCTGTTAGCAATCAATCAAGCAATCATAAGTGCTACTTTCAAGAGAGAATCACGCTAGTTTTGTGAAGTTTATAGAAGTTCTTTCTTGAGGCAAAATTTGCATTCTTTTGGAGAAGAAACTCATACTACAAAGCTACATAAATCTGGTTTGAGCGTTCTAAGTTTCTTCTATTTGTTTCTTTAGTTTCTTTACTGTATTGTGGGTGCCTAGAATTGTGGGCACTGGTTTCTGTAGCTGGAATTTGGCTGCAGGGTTGGTCAAGAACTGGAATTTGGTTCTTGGTGAAGGTTTAGGTGCAGGGACTGGAATTTTGGTTCTTGTGGTAGATTGAGTGTGAGATTAAAGTTGTAATCTATAAAACGTTCAATCTAGTGGAACCCACTGGAATTTGGCTGGAAACTCGGACGTAGCCACGGGATTGGGTGAACCAAGTATAAATCTTGGTTGTATCTTTCTAAACCTTTCTCTCTTTTAATTCTGTCCCTGCTTTTATTTTGATTGTTTGCTGTGTGTGATTCAAGAACTGGTCAGAAATCTTACTCTTTGAAATAGATAATCTGTAAATTGCGAAAATCTTTCAAAGATCAATTCACACCCCCCCCTCTTGATCTCAGCCTACAGTTCTAACAATTATTACAGAGCCAAAATCAACCGAACCCCAAAACGCACTGGTTTAATCGATTATTTGCCCTGTTAATCGATTAACAAGTGTGTTAATCGATTATTACAGTGAACAGATACAGAAAATGGTTTTTCTTACTGTAATAATCAATTATCTGGTGATTTAATCGATTAAACCCGAGCCTTTTTGATAAATATGAGTTTTTGAAGCTTCTAAAGAGTAGATTATGTACCGGCTATCTTAGACTCTAATATTACATACTCAAAGTCATCAAAACAGAGTTATTACACAACAATACAAGTCTTCAACTCTCTAAGTTCTTTGTTCTTGAATCATCATCAAAATTAACAAGCTTCATGTCCATGTAAGTTCAGCATCAAGTCCTTGTATGTTCAACAGTATAGCCTCTAACCTGGCAACAGGAGCATAAGTTTCATCATAATCAATACCTTCCTCCTAACAGTAGCCTTTGGCAACAAGTCTGGCTTTATTCTTTGTTATATTTCCATCTTCATCAAGTTTGTTTCGAAATACCCATTTAGTTCCAATTACTTGATGTGATTCTTCTCTTGGAATTAATTCCCAGACTTGATTCCTTTCAAATTAATTAAGTTCCTCTTGCATTGCTATGCACCATTGGTCATCTTTAAGTGCTTCCTTAACATTTTTGGGTTCTATCTGTGACACAAAAGCTACAGACATGCAGAAATTAGTCATATTTATAGTTCTTACCCCTTTTGAGATATCACCAATAATATTGTCCATTGAAAGTCCTCTTGGTGATATCCATTTTTTTCCTAATTCAGGTGTTTGAGAAGGCTCATTTTCTTCCAAATACAATTCATCAAGAGCCTCTCTTATATACTCATCATCACCTGCAAGTTCTTTATTTGACTCAAGAGGATTTCCCCCAAGGTCTACAATCTCATCAAAAGTAACATGTATAGATTCTTCAATATTTAAGGTTCTTCTATTAAACACTCTATAAGCTTTGCTAGTTATTGAATAACCTAGAAAAATGCCCTTATCGGCTTTTGAGTCAAATTTTCCTAAGTTGTCCTTTCCATTATTTAACACAAAGCACTTACATCCAAATATTTTCAAATGAGCAACATTAGGCTTTCTACCATTTAACAATTCATAGGGAGTTGATTTTATAATTGGCCTAATGAGCATTCTATTCAAAACATAACATGCAGTACTTACCGCATCAACCCAAAAATATTTAGGAACATTTGATTCATTTAGCATTGTTCTAGCAAGTTCTTCTAGTGACCTATTTTTCCTTTCAACTACACCATTTTGTTGGGGAGTCCTAGGAGCAGAAAAGTTATGCAATATTCCATTTTCCTCACAATAATTTTCAAACTTTTCATTTTGAAACTCACCACCATGGTCACTTCTTAAAACTTTAATTCTTAGGTCTTTCTCATTTTGAATTTGCTTTGCAAACTTTCTAAAGACCTTAAAAGCTTCACTTTTCACTGTCAAGAAAAATGTCCAAGTATATCTAGAGAAGTCATCAACAATCACAAGTCCATAATAATTTCCACCAAAGCTTTTTATCCTAGAAGGACCAAATAAGTCTAAATGTAATAATTCTAAAGGTTTTGATGTGGAAATGACACTCTTTGATTTAAATGATGATTTCACTTGTTTACCTTTTTGACATGCATCACATAACCTATCTTTTTCAAACTTTAACTTAGGCAAACCAACAACTAAGTCTTTTGATATCAATTTATTTAAATGATGCATATTTATATGAGCTGCTCTCTTATGCCATAACCAAGGGTTCTCTTCCTTAGCAACTAAGCATGTTATACTAGTAGAGTATCCTCGGCTATAGGTCTTCCGGTCCGGCTTCCTAAACCACTTGGTCCCGTTCTATGCGCATCTCGGATTCAACCTGCACATATCACTCTACTTTCTTTCTGGGAGAGCCAATAGAGAACTCAAGGGTATCAACTTTTGACTCGACTCGTTGAAAGAGTAAAAGCTCCTGACTAGCTTTAGAGCACACGACAATTGGTACTACTTCGCTATCGGTCACCACATTGAAAGCGATCTTTATACGTTAGGTAAGTTAGCAGCGTAAGAAGTCAGCCGTTGAAGAAAGAAAGACCGTTCCATCTTGTTCGAAAGTGGTCCACTCCGGAAGTAGTGGTGGCAAATCTTTTGGATGGACTTAAAAAAGAAAACTCTTTCGAAACGAAATAATATGAAATGAAGAATGACAGGGCTAGGTAAAAGGTGCCTTAGAGCAAGTCACTTATTATCCCCACCCAAAGGAGGTAAGGAACTGGGACGGAATGCGAGCCAGAGGCAGTACATCCTTTCCGGTAAGCAGTACGTGTGGGTGTGCTTATTTGAGAGTCACCAAGGAAGTAGTAGAAATGTTGAAGAGGAGACAACCCGCTCTTGAAAGACTATGCGCGTCGCGTGCTCGATCTAGCAATTGTTTTGATGAACTGTCATTCAAAAAGAAAGAAGAGAAAGAAATGGAGGGTGGCGCCTACATAACAGGTTGCTTGCTTACCAAGCCATCCTGGCTTTTCGCTCCTCCAGTTCGATTTTTATTTATTATTCTTGACTTATTATTAAAAAAACTACTAACTATCAAAATGAAAGACGATCGATTATCTACCCAAGAAGATAGAGAGTCCCACATACGAGAAAAGGTCACAAATAGAGTTGAACCAAGTAACATTGCAAAGGCATAATGATAGTAGGGTCGGGATATCCCCGCCCTCCGAACCGGACGTGAAGGTCTCCCCTCATCCGGCTCTCCGCAGGGGAATCTCCACTCACTGCTTCCCCTAATATCCTCCCTTTACCACATCATGGGGGTTTACAGGAGATCCCAGAGGCTCGCTCGGAAAGGCTGCTATACCATACCTTTTGACTCCACTCTACTCTAGTAGTCACTGGACTCACTATAGTAGTCCGTCCGGCTGCTCTTGCTGAAATCATTACTCTTCATTCTCCCGTGCTCTAGCAATTGCGCTCCCTAGACCACTACCATGTAGTTAGGTAGATACAATCAATCCGTAGTGACGGGAATCTGGGGATCCCTATCCATATCAAAAATGAAGAAATTAAATAATATATCTATAGAGAAGCTACCTTTCTCTCACTCAATAGATGTATCTGGTTTGGTACGGTACAGTACAATACGAGATGATTGAATGCAATGGGATGGATGGTAGAGGGCTGCCTGCGCCCAAAAGCGCTGATTCCCCTTGTCCATAGGGACCTCGTGGCATACAACCGAAACGACTCCCGCTAGATAGCCGCCCCTATCTATCTTTTTACAGCCTCGTGGACGGACTAAAGAAGGGAAGTTACAGAACGGGGCAGTGAAGGCTCGAGAAGTAGACAACAAGCTTTTCTCAGCCCCCTAACCTTTCTATTATTATTTAAGCGCTAGCGCGCCCCTTTCTCTAATCTTAGAGAAAGGGGCGTAAGCACTTCACTCGCTAGGGGATGGGATTCATTCACTTGCATTCCTGCTAGCACTACAAAAAGCTCCGGTCTTAACGCCCTTACTACTACTGTGCAGCCTTTCCTCGGGTTCGTAGAGTCGGGTTTCCCGTTTACCCACAACAGAGGACCCCACCAGACCAGGCAGGCGGCCACGGGTCATAACACACTCTTCGCACAACAAATCCACTTTGAAGTTGACTTATCCGCTCGGCCAATCATCGGAATGTGTATGATATACCATAAGGGCCCAATATCTCAATAGCACCTTTGTCTAAAGCTTCGAATGAGACTTCATATCCGAAACGCAGGAACGATCTGACTAGAAAGTCATTCAAAACTTGATCGAAGAACCAGCGTTTATTGAAGAAGCTATAGAGTCGATTACAAAAAGTACTTGTTTGAAAGGCTCGTTGGAATTGATCCGCTACGGGATTTACATTATACGCAACAGAAGCACCTGAAGTACTAAACAGAATAGGTATTAGTTTGGTAATGGTTGGAGCAGCAAACTCGGATTCGGCAAGAATCTCATTTTTTTGGTAGTGCGAAGGGAGAATTGGCCCAAAAATTGGATAGGGGTCAAGACGCAGTCGGGCGTCGGCGGCTGACTCAAGTGCCCCCCGAACCGCACGAAACGGTCGCCTATTACACGGCTCACTAACTCTGCCTGGGGTGTGGGGCTACCTATTATTCATTCGTCGGCGGTCCGGCGCACCCCTACTCACTTAAAGGATGCTGCTTAATTACGAAGGAAATTCATTCTTAATCTAGAGAGTTCCCTTTCGTTAAGCGCATTGAGCCAGGAGTGGACATCATCATCTGCAGACAAATCCAGATCCTGTTTCATCATTAGCTTAGCTAAAGTGGAATAGTATGACTGGCTTTCCGGAAAATGAGACGAAACCCGCTTTATCCATAACTTTTCTATCTTTGGCCACTGAAAACCGTGCGGAAGCCTGACTTTGGGGTATAGGGAGAGATTATCAAGATCTGCAACATCATACTTGTCCCTACTCAACTTATTAACTGCCCGTTCAAGGCGACTGATCTTCTCCATCAGAGGATCGGACGGTTGTGGTGGGACATATGGCACTATCTGATTCATGGGAGTGAGAGCCAAGGACACGGCCGGTACTGCAGGAGGTTTTCTTCGCGTTTGTACGTTATTTAAATCATTCTAGCCTTTCGCTTGCTTATCTTATTATGTTTCTAGTTCTCGCTCGGTAAATTGTATATTCATACTTTCAGTTCGAAATTCATTTCCCCAAACCCGGCATAAGAGAAGAAAACAAAAGAAAGAGATGCGGATGAAAGTGATCCCCCAATCCTCGCTCGGTACCAAGGGTAGAACTTCATGATTGATTCGGTGTAACTGGTCTTTGATCAAGGGGCGCGTTAGCGCCCTTACCTATTGAAGGAAAAAGTGCAGTTCAAGCACTTTGCTTTGAATCACAAACAAACAGATATTATTCAATTTTGGCATTCCCGATCTTCTATCTTTCCTGCAGGCATGGAAATCAAACTGGAATGAGACCTTCCTTTCTGTCGACATTCTTTTCCATTCCATCTCTCTTCCTTGAGGTGTGGGACCATTGGCCTAGTCTTTTACTAACCCCCGCAGGATTAGAATCATTCCCTTTGTTGAGTGAGGAGGGCTTGAAAGGATCTCTCTTCTGTCTAAGCCAGGGTAGGAATTGGATCGCCATCCCCCGCACTTCTTATTGTGCTAAGGGCCCATTCCTTATCCTTTTTTTTTTTTTAATAGGGTCAACCTTTCTTTTCTCTCCGGCAGTGGTCCAACCTTAGTATATGAGAAATGCAACTAGTGGTCCCTCATTTGATCTTGGTGTGGAACCCACTGATTTATGGGGAAGGAAAGCAAGGAACTCTGATTGCACATTAGTAAGGGTAGGCGGGATAAAGGCAGGTGCGTTTAATATTTCTGATATCGGAGTAGCAGCTGTTAGGAGTTAGCGCGAAGGAGCTCTTTCGCGGTTCTATCTCTTTTCCCTTATTCAAGGGTAATTTCTAGAGGGGCGAAGACAACTTCAAAATTATCCGAGAAAGGAAACTAGTGCGCTCTTTGAAGGAAGAATGCACAGTTAGGACAAAAAAAAAGGCTCTTTTTTGGGCAAATGACAGTTAATCCATTAGTGATGTGAAAGAAGGGCTTGTTTGCGACGTGAAATGGCATAGGTTTCTCTCAGATGCGAGATTACCGGTCTTTACTATATTGCTAAGAGTTAGCACAGGATTGGCAGGCGAGACATCTATTGAATTAACGGCAAGGATATTTTTTTATTAAAAAAGCTGTCCAATTGGCTAAGGGACATAGCTAAGGAAAAGCTCTGATCCAACTCATCGAAGATGCCCAAAAGGAACTACAAGAGATGAGACAGTTGCTTTCACTAAAGGACCGAAGTATAATAAATAAAATAAATAAATAATAGGATGAATAAAGACTTGCCTTTGAAAGCCTGCCAGAAAGCTTTCCTTTCGTCCGCTCCGGTCTCTACGTGTTACAGGTCCATGGTTAACTCGACCTCTCTCTTACTCCCGCTTCGAAACCTACTCGTTATTCAATTAATTGGCTTATGGAATGTTATTATGCCTAATGCCTTTTAATGCTACATTTTCGGAATCTATCAAATGTATGGTGCAAAATTTACTTTCAAATATTACCTTAAATTCTTTGTCACATAGTTGACTTATACTAAGGAGATTATGCTTTAACCCATCAACAAGAGGCACATCCTTAATCTCCAAAGTGTTTGCACCACCTATATTTCCAATTCCTAGAATTTTTCCTTTGTTGATGTCCCCATAAGTTACATATCCTTGTTCTTTAGCTTTGAAACTCACAAATTTCGTTTTGTCACCGGTCATATGCTTTGAGCATCCACTATCAAGATACCACATAGACTTCTTTGATTTGGAAGTTTCCTACAAAACAAGAACATAGTAAACTTAGGTCCCCATAACTTTTGGGTCCTTGGGGTTAGAGATAAACAAATTATTTAACAATAGGAACCCAAATGTATTTTCCTTTAGGAACACCAAAATGTTTTATTTTACATCTATTTGAAGTTTGACCTTGTTTCATACAATAAAAACATGCTTTAGACGTAGCTTTTGAATATGATGCATTTCTAACAATAGGTGCCCTAGTTCCTTTTTCTACCCATATTATTTTATTTTTAATCTTAGGCTTTTTCAAAGGAACATGATGATTTACTCTATTTTGAGCAATAACAACTTTATCTATGTTTATGTTACTTATCTCCTTTTCAGCTTTATCTAGCAAACGGTTAAGTATATCAATGTCATATTCATACTCTTTACAAGATGCACATACTATATTCTTATCATCATTCTCATCTATGCATACAATTTTCGTTTCTAAGGTTTCCTTTTCCTCTAAACATGTAATTTTCGTTTTTAATGACTCAACCTCCTTTTTGGATCTACTTAAACTCTTTTTCACATATTTATATTCATTTTTCAAGTCCTTAAAGGCACTAAACAATTCATTATATGCATTTTGCAGTTCATCATAATTATTTTCATCATCACTTGAAGATGAGTCGGAATCACTTACCTCAAAGTCGGAATCACTTACCACAAATAATCGATTAAACCAGTGCGAATTGGGGTTCTGTTGATTTTGGCTCTGTATTAACCGATTAACACTTCATTTAATCGATTATTTCAGTCAGATTTGGATTTTGAACTTCAAATTAAATCTATTTTCGAAAACCCTATTTCCAATACACCAAGTTTCGAAAATCCCCAATTCCCAAACCCTAATTCATCTACTTAAGGTTCTCTATGGCTCTCAGAAAATTGAACAACCTTTTTCAAACAAAAGTTAAGAGTTGTGATTGCCAGAGAACTGTTTGTTGGAGGAAAAAGGGGCTTTTGGAACCTGGTGTGGGCTAGAAGCGATAAGAATCACTAAGTGGAGTTCTTAGTGGATTGTGTGTTGTGCCGTCTCTAGGGAAATATGTTCTTCATCTCTTGTGTGACTCAAGAGAGGTGTTTTTGTTACCTTATCTTTTTCATTTGTAATCTGCTTGTATAACTTTGATTATAGTGACAGTGTTAATCCTCTGTTTGAGTGATTAGCAACTTGACGTAGGGTCTTTCGATCCGAACTAGTATAAATCTCCTGTGTAAGACTCTATCCTTATCCTATTTACGTTTACGCAGTATTTTAATCGGTAAAATTTGGGGAAAATTTTTAAAACCTAATTTTTTGTTAAGAAACCAATTCACCCCCCCTCTTGGTTTTTATCCGTTCGCGCAAACATTCCGCTGTGCGATTCCAACAAGTGGTATCAGAGCTTGCTTTGATAGTCATTCAAATTTTTCGAAAATGGCTGGACAAAATCAAATGTTTGCCGAAGGTGCGTCTATCAATAGACCCCCACTTTTTGCGGGTCAAAATTATCCTTTCTGGAAAGTTAGAACGCAAACATTCCGCTGCGCAATTCCAACAAGTGCTATCAGAGCTTGCTTTGATAGTCATTCAAATTTTTCGAAAATGGCCGGACAAAATCAAACGTTTGCCGAAGGTGCGTCTTTCAACAGACCCCCACTTTTTGCGGGTCAAAATTATCCTTTCTGGAAAGTTAGAATGCAAATCTTTTTAGAGTCTGTTGATAGTGGTGTTTGGGATGCTATTTTAAACGGTCCCTATATTCATAAAGTTACTGAGAATGGAGTAGATGTTCCTAAACCATTTTCTAGATGGACAACAGAGGAAAATAGAAAAGCTCAATTTGACGTTAGGGCTAGAAATATTATTTCATCTGCTCTAACCCTTGACGAGTTTTACAGGATCTCTGTTTGTAAAAGTGCTTAAGAGATGTGGGAAATGCTAAGAGTGACCCACGAAGGTACCAACGACGTTAAGAGAGAACGGAAAAATTCCCTAATCCAAGAATACGAGATGTTCCGAATGCAACAAGGTGAAACGATATTTGACATTCAAAAGTGTTTCACACACATTGTGAACCATCTCACCGGGTTAGGTAAAATTTTTGATGTTGATGAATTAAATGTGAAAATATTGAAATCTTTGGATAGGAAATGGCAACCTAAGGTGACGAACATCTTGGAGTCACAAAACCTTACCACAATGTCTATGGCGGCGCTCTTTGAAAAGTTGAGAGAGCATGAGCTTGAGCTAGGAAGGCTAAATGATGAGGAATGACAATATCAAAAGAAGAACTTAGCCTTCAAAAATGAAATTTCCAAAGGTAAGAGTAAAAAGGAAGAAGAAGACTTGGAGAATGAAGAAGAAGAATTGAGTCTCATGATTAAGAAGTTTACCAAATTCGTGAAAGCCAAAGGAAGACATCCATTCAAAGGTAAGAGAAAATACTTCCGTAAATATAAAATGCTATGGTTGTGGTGAAACAGGACATATGAAGACCGAATGTCCAAACAAGAAAAATGAAGAAAACAAAGGCAAAAATTTCTTCAAGAAGAAAGCCTACATTGCTTGGGACAATAGTGATTCAAGTTCAGAATCAGGTGACTCAAAAATTGAAGCCAATATTTGCTTAATGGCAAATGACAACAAGTGGTATCAGAGCTTGCTTTGATAGTCATTCAAATTTTTCGAAAATGGCCGGACAAAATCAAACGTTTGCCAAAGGTGCGTCTATGAATAGACCCCCACTTTTTGCGGGTCAAAATTATCCTTTCTCGAAAGTTAGAACGCAAACATTCCGCTGCGCGATTCCAAAAAAAAGGACCCAGCCCTTGCAAAGCTCGACGAGCTGCAAGCCTTGTTCGTCCATCAAGAGGCGAAGATCAAAGAGGCTCAAAAGTACAATGAAGATATGAGCCAGGTGGTCCAAAAGCAAAGCGAAGCACTCGCCCGTCACGTCCAGGAAGCTGAAAGGGAATTACATAGAGATCAAGACCCTCCCGTGGGCTTCTTTAGGCTTTTTTCGCTTCTGTCAAAAGTTGCTTCGTAGTATGGAATAGGAGAATGTACACCTTCTATGGATAAATGAAATTTTCCTTATTCAACGATTGTCTACTTGCATGCATATCATTCATTTGCATATTTAAAATCCCCTCCTCCATTTTTAATAAACAAGATAATAAAAAGGAAGGATTAACTGACACGTCTTCCAAATCAGAAGAATGGATATAATGCCGTTTTTAATCAAGCTCTTCCCAACGGTCGATCCACCACAAGAGAATAATAAGCCTCGACCGTTGGTCCTCAAAACCAATAAACAAGAGGGGGCAAGGACGCCTTTACGACTATTTATGCCACGTCCTTTCCCCTACGAATCAAATAAAGTTGTACTGTGGAGATACGAGGAATCTCACCAATAAAGGAGGATATCTCCAATATAGCCGGCATTGTGGGCATGACTAGAAGTGGAAGGGTCTACTCCCCCAAGGATTTATAAGAGGATGCCCCCAAGAATAAAGGAAAAAATAAATAGACCGAAGAAAAAGAGAATAAAGAATCCAAGGAGGAGACAGACGAATTACTCCAGTTCATAAGGCAAAGCGAGTATTTCATTATTGATAAGCTCAATCATACACCTACAAAGATAACGTTGTTATCTCTAATGATGAGCTCAGAACCACATAGAAACGCCCTGATGAAGGTCTTGAGCGAAGTGCATGTACCTCACATCATATCCCAAGAAAAGGTCGAGAGGATCATCGGTCACAT